GCTAAGCATGGAATTGTGTGTGGCCACAGCATTAACTTAATAGTCCTAAACAAACGTAGGTGTTAGTCACCCCATCGTTAGGGTGACTAACACTATTTTTACCTTCATTATCTCTGAGCAGAGGTGATACAAATATCTGAAGATGTGACTGATTAGAGCAATTTTCCCAAAGAGTATTTCAAAGGAAAGATTTGGCCACAATACTACGAAATGGGCAAACTGTGCACTCTGTAACTTTGCTTACAGAATGAAAAAAAAAAAAAAATCACCAGCCTGTTTAAAATCAGAATCTGTTCCTTGGCGCTTCGCTTCGGACTTCTGTTTAACAGTTTCAGGTCAACTGGACCTATCAAAGGCTAACGGTGCTGAGTAAAACCTTGTTTTTCAATTAAGAGCCATAGATGTAATCTGATCTTTTGTTCCTTAGAGTAGTTTTTTTCTTTCTGAGGGACAGTAACTACACCTGGCAATTGGAACGTCTCGTTTTCTAACTAATATAGAAATGATGGCTATGATTATATGACATGGAATTTTAATCTCTTATCCAATTACCAGCTTATATTAAAAAAAACTATATGCTTTACGTATCCATTGTACTTCCGAGCTACTTAAAGAATTCATTTTTTATATCATCTCTGAATCAGAAATCTTTTGTCATCCTTTTGGTTCCATCTATCAGCCAGCAAACTGTGAATATAGCAGATAAATTCAAGATCTATAAATCTTGAGAAATTCTGGTTTTTGACAGGTTAAATGCAAGAGCCTTCTAGGTGGCATGTAAACTTGTGTAAGCATTTGATATGTATTCACTTTAGTGTGTATAAAAATATTGGTTGCATAAACCTATGATTTGATTACTTAGGTCAAACTAAGCAAAAAGAAAAAAAAAACTAATGAAAAATATTTTAAGTAATGAAAGTTCTGAAGGTACAAGGATATGGTAAATACTAAAAAACAAACAAAACAAAAAAACCCACAGGATTCAAACTTCCAAGTTTTAGAAAGATAAAAGGATAATAAAAATGAAATTCATAGACTCCTGAAATTTTATACAAGTGATATTAGCCTTCCTGTTTCGTTAACATGTTAGCGCCCAGCCTGTTTTGTCTTCCGGACAGAAAGTATAGTGTCCGTCAGTCACCAAGGGAGGGGTTACAATAAGGCTCAATCTCATGAAGTAAACTTGTCTGATGCCTCACATTAATTTGGGGGACAAAAGGTACAACAGTGACTCTATTTCCAGTTCTCCACTTACAAAGAAAAAGCTTACTGCTACCACTGCACATCCCAATGTCAACTCTTCTCTACCCAACTGGGAGGGATCCTGTCCCCAGAAATTCCACAGGACCACACCCCAGCTTCCTAGGTTTGACCTCTTCCTGCTCAACAAGCCATCTTTGGACAAGCCTGCACACTCCCAACACTTCATCTACATCAGGGGTGAAGAACACCACCAAATATTTGACCTTATATAGCAGGCTAATTTTTTAAAAATATTTTTTTATGGCCAAAACCGGTTTGGCTCAGTGGTAGAGCGTCGGTCTGCGGACTGAAGGGTCCCGGGTTCGATTCCGGTCAAGGGCATGTACCTTGGTTGCGGGCACATCCCCAGTAGGGGGTGTGCAAGAGGCAACTGGTTGACGTTTCTAGCTCTCTCTCTCTCCCTTCCTCTCTGTAAAAAATCAATAAAATATATTAAAAAAAAAAATATATATATATATATATATATATATATATGCATTTCAGAAAGGAAAGGAGAGCGAAACATCAATGATGAGAATCATTGATTGGTTGCCTCCCACATGCTCCCTAATGGAGGTTGAGCCTGAAACCTGGGCATGGGCTCTGACAGGAATCAAACCGTGACCTCCTGGTTCATAGGTCAATGCTCAATCATTGAGCTATACTGGCTGGGCAGCAGGCTAACGTTTAAGTTGATAATTTTATACGGCCAGCAAATGTTATAAATATCCAAATGGCCCTTAGCAGAGAAAAGGTTCCCCACCCCTGATTACATAGGATGCATGAATGACTAAATTTGTTTCCTGTTCTCCTCTTGCCATGCTCTATCTAGCTACTGATCATTTTACCTGGATGCACTTCAAATTCTACATGCTTAAAAGCAAACTCATTCTTACCCTAGGCACCCCGGTGTGTCCCTCCCCTTCCAGAAATGCCCCTAAATCTCTCCCATCTCCTCCACCTCATTATTATGCTGATGACACACCCGGGCCTCTCTCACGTGGGCTAGCACAAAAGCCTCCAGCCTGCTCTCTGTGTTCTCTCTCTCTCCTTTTACAGGTATTTTTTCCTTAACTGCCTCAAAACTAATCTTAAAAATCCCTTATCAGCTCAACCTCATTAGTCATTAGGTCACACATATTAGACTACAGTGAGATAGCAGACATACCTATCCGAACGGCTAAAATAAAGATTATTGGGCTAGGGAGAGGGAGAAGGATCAGCTGGAAGAAGGTAAACGGGATAAATGGTGACAGAAAGAGACTAGACTTTGGATGGTGGGTACACAATGCAATGTGCAAATGATGTACTGTAGAGCTGTGCCTATATAACTTTATTAACCAATGTAACCCATGTAAATTCAATAAAAAAAAATAAAGATAATGATAACACCAAATATTGGCAGGCATGCAGAGAAACTGGATGCACACATTATTGGTGGGAATGTAAACTTGTACAGCTACTATGAAAAAGGGTATCGATGTTTCTTACGAAACTAAGCACGTACTTATCATATGACCCAGCAATCGCATTCCTGGGCATTCCAGAGAAATGAAGCCTACCCGCACAAAATCCTACATGCAAATATTGAAAGTAGTTGTATTTGTAATAGTAAAAAATTAGAAGTAATTCTAATGTCCTTCAACAGGTAAATGGTTAAACAAACTATGGTTTATTTATAGCATTGAATACTGCTCACAATTAAAAGGGAAGAAATACTGAAACACCACAAATTAGATGGCTGTTAAGGGACGAACACGGAATGAAAAAAAGCCAATCTCTAAGATTCCATACTCTAGATTTCATTTATATACAATACTCAAAATGACAAATAGAGATGGAGAACAGAATCATGGTTGCCAGAGCTTAGGGCAGAGGGCAAGGAGGTGGCTGTGGTTATAAAAGGCTAGCACGGGAAGGAGGTGTTTTGTATCTTGACTGTGGTAGAGGTTCATACAAATCTATACATGTGAAAAAAAACTGCACAGAATACACACATAAATGAGTGCTTGTAAAATTGGTGAGGTCTTAATCAGGTGGATGGACTGTATTAATGTCAATCAATCTCCTATTGTGATATTCTACTGTAATTACTCAAGAAGTTACCATTGGGGGAAGCTAGATAAAGTGCATATGAATCTCTCTCTGTTATTTTTTACAGCAGCATGTGGCTCTACAGTTATCTCAAAATAAAAAGCTAAAGGATGAAAAACCCCGCCTCAATGACAACTAACAGTTCCCCAATACCCGTAGTAAAGCATGGCATGCAGAATTTCCCTTACAGAATTTCCTACAATTGAGACAACTAGTTCTAAGAGCTAACATCTTAGAACACAGGCTACATGGCAGGCGCAATTCTAAGCATTTTTATGTATTATCTCATTTAATCCTCAATGATCAATGATTCCACAAGTTCGGTTCTACCATCAATGCTACTTTAAGAAACTTTTTAAAAAGATTTTTAAAAACTAATTTTCATAGAGAGAGAGAAACATCGATGTGAGAGTGAAACATCCATCGGCACACCCCTTACCAAGGATCAAGCCCACAACTCAGGCATGTGCCCTTACCGCGAATCGAAATGGCAACCTTTCCATATATAGGGCAGAACCCAACCAACTGAGCCACACTGGCCAGGGCCTGTGACTGCTATTTTATTCCCAAACCACTAAGGCACAGATGATGTACTGGTAAGTAGCTTCACAGCATCACCACCCAATCATCCTTCAAAGCCCTGCTCCAATGGTACCTTTGTGACTTCTTCTAGACTTAAGTGCTATACTAACAGGTCAAAAACTCAGAAGATGTTAATAAATATTTAATTAACAAGGTTTATACAAAAGGACACAAAGTTATAAAACTGACACTTCAAAGATTTGACACTGATTACACTGAATCTCTGCTTCTCCAAAGTTAAGATTGAATGGGAAAGTATTGTACAGGTTATAGTGGGGACAGAAAACACCCATTAGTGAGAAAATGTTAATAAGGCAGCCAAAGAGGGACAGTTAACGTTAGGCTAACGAAACTCCAGTGTCAGCTGCAAAACTCACATCTTCAAGTTTTCACAAAACATACACACGAACACAAACGCATTTCTTCTTAAGACGAGTCATCTCCCCGTCTCCTTTTCATGACTTTTTCAAGTCATGAAAAGGCATGATCTCTTTTGTTAGGAAAAAGACACTTTCTCCTGTTTAAAATTACTTCCCTTAGGAGAAACTAGATTACAGGTTTTTTACTTGAAAAGCTTACTGATTATCCTACAACAATCTAGAATTGTGCCAAGTATTGTATAAATTCTGAATGAGTCTCTCCAAAGGAGTCATTTTAAACACAGCCAACAGAAGCAGAGGAGAAGAAAATAACTTTAAGCCCAAGAATGAAGCTTAATGGTTCAGATTTCCTCTGCTCCGTTCCCCCTTCCCTCCACATAAGTTGTCTTCTCTTAAGCAAAACCTTTGCAGAAGGCACCAAAAGTGAGCATAAGTGGCAGAGAGAAGGCAATGGGAGAAGTGGGTAGAAGGCTTTAAAAGCCAACCGCTCCTCTTTCGTAAATAACCATAAATTCTTTTTCTTTTTAGTTTACCTGTGCCAAACTGACATGCCAGGGAACAAGATCTCAAGCGTTCCCCATAAATTTTTAACAGTGATGTAAAGCCAATAAAGAAAAGGAAACTATGCATTACATGATAAAAGAAGGTGTGGTCTAGTAAAACAAGCAGCTAAGACAAGGAACTCAGAAAGGAAATACTGACCTGCCCAGTTCTCCTGTATCTGGAGTCCTCTTTGTCCTGTCTGGAAGTACTGGTTCTCTCTCTCACGTTTCTGTAACCAGGACTGGGGATGATATACTCTTTTCCTATGTCGAGGTCCTTCATCTTCTCTGATTGGAGACGCCAGGGCTCACAGACTCCTGGTTTCACTTGATAATTTCTGAAATTAAAAATTCACCAAGAACAGATATTTCCTAAATTGTGCTTTATAATATGCAAAAATGCTTTAAAATAGGAAAAAGGGCAAAAGCACTGAGATTTTCTACCCCTATTGCTACAAAAAAATATTTGAAATCTTTTTCAAGTACCACTTCATATTTTCAAGGGGGAAAAAATCAATATAATAGGATCAAGAATTCTCTCCTCCCACTGCTAAGGAAAACAAAAAAAGGTAAGAAAAACAGACACACTGGTAAAGAGACACCCAACTTCTTCCCTTAGGTTCAAAGGGGAATATTTATAGGTCTTAAAAAAAAAAAAAAAAAAAAAAAAAAAAAAAGACTTTCTGGAAACAATTTGAGTTTGTTCCAAGGATTATAAGCTTCACAATTTAAAAATGGGCATTATTCCTCCTACTAAGTTTTCCTACATGAAAACTTACAAAATACTTATTTTACCAATGGTCTATCTCATCTTTGCATTTTTATAATTGACAGTGAAGAAACTGATATTACTTTAAAGTACCATGGAGTTACATAGCTAACATACAAAACAATAACATGCCTTCACTTTTAAAACGGATATGAAAGTGTACTAAAATCAGATAGTAGTGATGAACAATTCTGTGACTATACTAACAAAACACTTCAAAAGGCTGAATTTCCACGCATGGTTTAAAAATTACAGTACATCTCAACAAAGCTATTATTCAAAAGCAATAACCAAAACAAACTTCTCACCCTGCCTTACGAAGGCTTACCTAGTGTGACCTGAAACTGTTCTAATTCTAATAAATATCTGTACCAACTTTCATTACTTTTGAAAAAAATAAAACACATACACAGCTCTCTGAAACATTTCCCCCACTCTATGATGGTTCAAACCTTCCCAGATACAAGCTGAGGAAACCCCATTCATTCCAGCCTTGCTAGAAATTAAAGAAGTGCAGCCATGTTGCCTCTTAAATGCCATAAACTCTTGCTAGCAATCACTTCAACTTAAAAGCACTACTCTTCAAACCAAATTCTGACAGCTACAATTCATTTTTTTAAGGTATCAGAAAAAAAGGAGAACACTTAATAATCCTCTAAATAAGAAGGACGAAATTTCCTGAAATCAGTGCTTCCAGCACAAAGAAAGCTTGACTACTTGCCTTTCAGAAGTCTGAGTCGAGTACTCGTACTTGGAGTTGATAAACTCAGTTCCTTATCTTAAAAAAATAAAATAAAAAGTCACCTTGTCCAATGGCAAATCACACGATAAGCAATCACGTCACTGAGACCTTATTAAGCCTCAACTAGAAACAGCTGGCACTTGGCAGTGTCTGGATGCAGATATTAGTAATCCTCCTTGTTACCGGGGTCACAAAAGTCCAACCTTCCCCTCCAAAGGTTCCGGAGCCTACCTAATTTCTGGTAGCTGAAAAGATTAGTCCTATTTTGGAAAAAAGACAGGAGGAGGGGAGGAAGGAGACCAAGGGAACTCATTTATATGATCAAATGCCCTGTCAAGAGGAACATGAAGATCACCTCAGTGGTATAAGAATTCACAATAATCAAAGTTTCTTTCTATCACTTGATTTCAACTTACTCTACATATGAAGGACGTGGGGAGCAATTTCCCATCACCTCTAACACTCTTGCTTTTGCATCAAGACTCTCCTTCCAGTGATACAAGTGTACAGTGAAACAGATGACCCTGCTTGGGAGATGAGCGTTGCACAGAATCAAGAATTTCAGTTAGCCAGACAGGTGACCCCAAATTGCCTTCATAACTTAGGCTTCCAACATCTCAGGTAATCTGGTTCCAAGCCCTGAAGCTGCATGAGAGAACCCGACCTGAGGCTACAAGAATTCCTATTTACCACTCTCTTCCAATCCACTTGTTGTGTTCCCAACCTTCTGCACCTTTTACTTACGCTGGACCCCAGTGTAATCTATCCATCTCCTCCATCAAAACCTGCAACTTTGCCAACCATTGCCGTGCCTCCTGCCTCCCCACGTCTGTGCAGAAACCAAAGGGGCCCTGTGTGATAAACACAAAGCATCGTGCAGCTCTGTGTGGTGGAAGTGGAAAGGGCACTGATGAAAGTCAAGAGATCTGGGTCCCATCCTGGGCCTTGCCCAGGGTTTGCCGTGCGTGCTTCAGTCACGAACCTCATTTGCCCATTTGCAAAAACAAACAAAAACACACACGGGAGGATGGCTTCTCAGGCTGCTGGCAGCTCAGTGTCCGGTGTGTGTGGCTTAATTCGGGGTGCTCCAGGCCGTCCTCCCCACAATTTGAGGATGGGGGCTTCTCTCGGGCCAGCTCCGCCTGGAATGCCGTGGACCCTAGGGCGTTCCCATGTCCAGTAGGGGCCTGGCGAGCCGAGAGCGACCCACGCCCACACCCACGGGCGCAGCACCCCCTGGTGGCCGCAGCCGGGAATGGAACCAGCACTCTTGACCGCTCATCCCACCCTTACATGCCTTCCCAGGCCTGCACCTCACCACGTGCCCCAAGGGCTCGCGTCCAAAAGAGGGGGCGGCAGGGGACCTGAGGAAGGCCAAGGCCCCGTTTCTCAGATGTCTGGCTTCTCCCGAACTGCCCCCCAGTCCCCGGATCACAGTCCACCGGCCCCAGAGGAAACACAGGGGAGTTGAGCCACGTGACAACCAAGGGAGAAGGGAGGGGGGCGGCGGCGGCCACCACTTACCTGTGCCCCGGGTCCCAGCCCGCCGCGCCGGCCACTCGACCACGCTCCCGAGCATCAGCTCCGGGGGCAAAACAAGCCTTTATAGCGGCATTGGCCGCCGGACTGCGCATGCGTGCTGCACAAAGCCTTCCCTAAGACTGAAGGGAATTGTAGTCCCGAGTCCAGGCGCCCGAGGCGGGGGGTGCGGCGAAGGACTCTATTTCCCAGAAGCCCCGCGGCCGCCCTGGGGGCGGGGCGGGGTGCTTGTCCACCGCGATCCCAGCTCTGCAGCAGCCTGCCCGGGGCTCCGGCCACCCGGTCCGCAGTCCTTCCCCGGAGCCGGGCGCCCTCGGGGGCGGCGGGGAGGGCGGGCTGGAGCCCGGGTGGCCCAGCAGCCCGGTGTTTGCAGGCAGGTGATGCCGCCGGCGAGAGGCCGTGTCTGCACCAGAAACACCGTGAAGGTCACCGTGCTCGTAGGTCCTGGTCGCCAGCCAGTCCTGAACCTTATCTGCTTGTGCACCGCTCAGGAATCCTGCATTCCCCGATATCGCTTTGCTTTTATCCCACTGCCCAACGCGTCGTGGGTGCTGCCTGCTTCTAGATAATAAAATGCCGGGATCGCAGTTGTCACAGAGTGGCAAGTGCCATGGACGCGGTATGCCAACTCATCCCTTTCTTCCTCTTCTTCCTCCTCCTCCTCCTCCTCCTCCTCCTCCTCCTCCTCCTCCTCCTCCTCCTCCTCCTCCTCCTCCTCCTCCTCCTCTTCTTCTTCTTCTTCTTCTTCTTCTTCTTCTTCTTTAAATATATTTTTATTGATTTTTAACAGAGAGGAAGAGAGAGGGATAGAAGTTAGAAACATCGATGAGAGACAATCATCAATCAGCTGCCTCTTGCACACCCCCTACTGGGTGCCCGCAACCAAGGTACATGCCCCTTGACAGAATCGAACCTGGGACCTTTCAGTCTGCAAACCGAGGCTCTATCCACTGAGCCAAACCATCCCCTTCTTTTTATACGTGAAGTGGGATCCCCAAAGAGATCGACCACTTTATCTCTGTGTTTCATCTGTACCTTCAACAGGATCATAACATAACTTACTCTTGAGTGCCTACCTACTCTAATCTGGTGCTTTCCATGCGATTCTCATTTCTTTTCATCTCCATCACAGCCCTGTGTGTAGGTACTAGGATCATCTATTTAAGAGATTTAAAATATAAAATAAAAATGAAGCCCCTCGGGCGGTGCTCAATAGTTGAGAGTAGACCTTTGAAGGGGAGGTCCCGGTTTGATTCCTGGTCCCACCCAGCACGTGCCACGGTTGCAGCCAGATCCTCAGTGGCTGGCGTGCAGGGAGGAGCGGATGGATGATTCTCTCTCATCATTGATGTTTCTATCTCTCTCCCCCTTTCCCTTCCTCTATAAGAAAATCAATAAGAAAATATTTTTTAAAAATAAACGAAGGTAAAGTGACTTGAAGACACTAAGGTGCTTAGGCAAAGATGATTGATAGACAAGTACAATAGATTGAAGAGCCTAGAAGCAGATTAATAATTATATGTAAAGTTAATCTGTAACTGGGGGACGGGAGGAAACACATTACAAATCTGTAGGTAGGGAAAGAAAGAAGATTCCATAAACAGTGCTGGGACAATAGTTAATCCTAATTTTAAAATTCTCAGGGATTACTACTTCATACATACCACACAGAAAAATCTGTTTCAGCTAGGCAAGAAACCTAAACTATGAACGAGAAAACTTTAACACATTTAGAAGAAAAGGTGAAATATCTATGTGATCTTGAGAGTAGAGAAGAGCTTCTTAAGATACAAATAAGAAAGGAAAGATTGATGAATTTTTACTACATTAAAATTTAACCTTCTGTACAAGATGCCATAAGTGAAGACAAAACACAAGTTATAACTGACAATGTTCTTAAATGTATAATATACAAATAATTTCTACGACTGAGTAAGAAGTGGCAGATAACTCAATAGGAAAGAAAAGGAAACAGAAACAGCCATTCAAATATGTTTGAAAAGACACCCAGTCTCACTGACAATCAGGGAAATGGAAATTAAAATAGTGATGAGATGCCATTTTATGCCCATCTGATCGGGAAACCAAAAATCTGACACCACCAAGTGTTGTCAAGGATCTGGAGAGACAAGGTATTTCACGGATTGCTGGTAGAGTTAGGATCCATTGATAGAACCACATCAAGGAACAATGCAGCAAATTCAGTGGGTTGGACGTGGGGTATATTGTTCGACCTCAAGTAGATCCCTAACATTCAGTGGCTTGAAGTCAAGAAGTTTATGCTTCTCATGCTAGGAGTTCATTTCTAGGTGAGGGTACCAGATCAGCAATGCATTTCTGCTTCTTGCAGTTCATCAGAGACCCAAGGTGACCGTGGCTCTCGCAGGTTCAACATTTGGCTTCCTAAGTTGCTCCACTCATTGCTACCACCAGTCACCCAGGTGGGAGGAAGGAAAAAGGGAGTGTGAAAGTTGAGCTAGTCTTCAGGCACCAGCCAGGAAGCTGAATACTTCACTTCTAATCACATTCTGTTGGTTACAATTTAGTCAGATGGTCACATCTAACTGAGAAAAAAACTGGGAAATGTAATGCTCAACATGGCAGTTATGAGCCATCAACAACCCTATTAAAATGGCAGAAGAAAAGGAGAGATTTTTGGTAAAAGCTAATGGTTTTTAATGCCCATTCTTAAACCCAGCAAGTCCACTTTTGCACATATGCTTTAGACGAGCCTTTATCAGCAGGAGCTTCTGCAAGTGAATTAAGCCCTACACAAAATTATTTGAGCGACTATTTTCTTATTTCTCCCAAGGACAGCATATAGCTAGTATCATTCTAGACACCCAGCGGAGAAGTGAATTCATTACACACAATGAATACCTTAGGACATTAGGGCTTCATGCAATTAGCTGAGAAAAAGTGACCCAAAGGGTCTCCCACACATCTGCACAAGGAGATACATTCACTGTGCATGGTCTGTAATAGTACAAAGAATATAAATTTCACTAATAAAGAAACAGATAGCTAGTTATGGTATTTGTACAATGGGATATTATATAGTAGTCAAAAAACAAGGGTCATTATGTATCAACTAGAGGCCCAGTGCACGAATGTGTGCATGGGTGGGGTCCAGCCAGCCCCAACCCTGATCGGGGTATTGGGGACCAGATCAGGCTGGTTGTCTGCCACAGTGCACATCGTAGCCACCAGTCATTCCTATTGTTCTGGTTGTTCTGTGGTTCCAGTCGCTGGGTTTATAGATATAGATGTAGATATAGATATAGATATATAGATATGAACAAATCTCAAGAACTATGTTGAGTATAAATAAATTACAAAAAGACTCAAATTGTGTGATTCCATTTGTATTAATTTTATAAACATGTAAAAATGTGATACATTGTTTAAGGAAGGATACATGTGTGTATTGAGCATGATAAACAACAATTTCAATGTATAGATAGTTATCCCTACCATTGGAGAGAGGGAGAAGCCTAAGATAAAAGAGGGACATACAAAGGCATCACGTGTTTCTGTGATATTTTATTTCTTTTTAAAGTGACTTATAAATGTTAAAATTTAACAAAGCTTAGAGGTGGGTATATTAGTGCTTCAAATATTATTTGCTGTATTTGGGGTAGCTTTTATTTTATTTTATTTTTTAAAAATATATTTTATTGACTTTTTCAGAGAGGAAGGGAAAGGGATAGAAAGCTAGAAACATCGATGAGAGAGAAACATTGATCAGCTGCCTCCTGCACACCCCCCACCAGGGATGTGCCCACAACCAATGTACATGCCCTTGGCCGGAATCGAACCCAGGACCCTTCAGTCCACAGGCCAACGCTCTATCCACTGAGCCAAACCAGTTTTGTCTGGGGTAGCTTTTAAGTATTTCATAATTTAAATGTTTTAATATAGAAAAAGAAGAAGAGCCGAAACCGGTTTGGCTCAGTGGATAGAGCGTCGGCCTGTGGACTGAAAGGTCCTGGGTTCTATTCCAGTCAAAAGCATGTACATTGGTTGCAGGCACATCCCCTGTGGGGGGTGTGCAGGAGGCAGCTGGTGGATGTTTCTCTCTCATGGATGTTTCTAACTCTTTATCCCTCTTCCTTCCTCTCTGTGGAAAATCAATAAAATATATTTGGGGGAAAAAGAAATAACGTTGCCCTTTCCAGAGCAAGAGAGTAGGTGCTTTACCCAACAATGCTAATGAAAGAAAGAAAGAAAGAAAGAAAGAAAGAAAGAAAGAAAGAAAGAAAGAAAGGAAGGAAGGAAGGAAGGAAGGAAGGAAGGAAGGAAGGAAGGAAGGAAGGAAGGAAGGAAGGAAGAAAGAAAGAGAAAAAGAAAAAGAAAAAAGAAGAAGAAAGGACCACAAGTAAGCTACACAGGCATAAAGACCCCAACCCACAGGTAGCTGAAGAGAAACAACCCAGGTCACCAGCAGGATGGACCACTGGGTCTGCAAACATGATTTTTTTTTTTTTTTTTTTTTTGTTAAACTTCCACACAAAAAAAGAAAGAAAGAAACATAGGGGCAGACCGTTATCCCAGCCCCACAGGCACATCCTGGGCTACAGAATTCGCACAGATGGGAGGAAGACGATGAGCCCATCATCTCACCCCGTGGAAAGAAGCCATTCTGGATCAAGTGCTTACAAATCCCTCTCTCTTTCGGTGAAATATGATGGAATTGACTGTGTCTATGGACTGGAACTTCACAAAGATGAAAGAATTTTGTCTCTTAAAATTCTTTCCGACCTGGTGGCATCATCTCAACTCAGAGATGCAAACCTTGCAAATACCATCTTTGGCAAAGCTGCGGAACATACAGCTGAGGACAGGCATGGTTCTAAGGATGAATGGAGAGGGATGGTCTGAGCCCAAGCACCAGTAATGAAAGCCTGGTTTTATATCACTGTTGGAAGCCACCCATTGTCTTCACTAGCAGAGAGGTGTGGACAAGAAACCCGGAAGGCTGGTTAACCTTGAAGCTCTGAAAGGTCAGAGCCAAGCATCCACTGTCTAGTTGAGACATGGTGGCTGAAGCAGCTTCTACCTTTTAGTCTTACGTAAATCCTTCTGATTGGCTATC